CCACAAAGATCCTTTTTTCTTTCTTCATTCGCATTCTTTTTTTAATTGTAATGTCATTTACCACAAATAATTTTATCTATACATGATCAAGATCTTACATAATGTACCATCTCCCTTTAGAAAGGGAAAAAAATTCTTAACCAGTTATTTTCTTTTAGGGTTTAAACAATACACAAAAAATACAGAATAACAAGTAGTCTCCTTTGAAAGTTCATTTTCTAATTTAGCAATAAAAAATTTCTGGCAGGGCTTCCCTGGTGGTGCAGCGGTTGAGAGTCCACCTGCCGATGCAGGGGACACGGGTTCATGCCCTGGTCCGGGAAGATCCCACATGCTGCAAAGCGGCTGGGCCCGTGAGCCACGGCCACTGAGCCTGCGCATCCGGAGCCTGTGCTCCGCAACGGGAGAGACCACAACAGTGACAGGCCCACGTGCCGCAAAAAAAAAAAAAAAAAATTTCTGGCAATCATTCAAAGTAGAAGAATTTTTACTCCAATCTAATAATTCACTTCCAATAATTTATTATGTACATTACAAACATGAATCAAGAAAATGAGCGCAGAGAATTATCATTAATTTGTAATTCCATACCCCAATACCTATATGAGTATTCAGAAAAGAAACTGAAGGCTAATTTAAATTGAGAACAGGTAACAGATATATAGAAATTCTGACAAACTAAGAACTAGTTTCAAATGTCCATCCAACCAGCTGGTAATCAATCTCACTGATTTAAAGAAAAGCCCATCATAGTGAGAAATCTGAATACTTATTTTAAAATGCAGTTTCTTGCTTTTAGATACATATGGTTCTCAGGCAAAAAAGAAAAGTTCCTGAATCCTATCAATTCATCCAGTATTATCTCTACAGTAACATTATTAAGACAAGTCATGCAGGAGATCATGTTAGTTCCTTAAGAAGTTAACCTCAAAAAAGAGATGCCTCCAAAGCATTCCTAGTGTTATTACCCACAAATTTGGCTGATCCCATTTGTATTTTTATCCTAAGCATCCAACTAGAATAGCATCTGTGGAAGCCAGTCTCAAAAGGGCATGGCCCCCAGCAGTTTCTCTCTGTTTATGCATACCTCTCTTCTTGTCTACAGGTAGAGATTATTTTCCCTCCCTCTGACTCTGGGCTGGCCTTGACCGTCTTTAACCAATGGCAACATTCTCAACTTCCAAACCTAGGACTTAGGAGAATTGGCTGACTGGTTTCTACTTCCTATCTCCTGGAATGCTCCTTCTTAGACACCAGGCATCATGCTTTAAGGAAATTGAAAGGCCATGTGGAGAAAGGAGGCCCACATAAAAGAGGACAGAAAGCCTTACTGCTAGCTGAACTTTCAGCCAGTGGCCAGCCATGACAGAAGGTGGCCATTTTGAACATTCCAGCCACACTGGCACCCCAGCCAACACCAAGTGAAACAGAAAATGCATCAGTCAACCAGATTTATCTTTGTTACACAGCAAGTTACCCTTTACACTTTCACTTATCTTTCAATTCTTTAAAAAACTATTTTATATGTCCTAAAATTATTTCATGCATGTGTCAAATTTTCCCAGTTCTAAGATCCTGGGATTGGTTTATCCTGTCCATTTAAAAATAAACTTCAGGGACTTCCCTGGTGGTGCAGTGGTTAAGAATCTGCCTGCCAATGCAGGGTACACGGGTTCGAGCCCTGCCCCGGGAAGATCCCACATGTCATGGAGCAACTAAGCCTGTGCGCCACAACTACTGAGCCTGCGCTCTAGAGCCCACGAGCCACAACTACTGAGCCCGTGTGTCACAACTACTGAAGCCCGTGTACCCAGAGCCTGTGTTCCACAAGCCACCGCAATGAGAAGCCCGTGCACCGCAACGAAGAGTAGCCCCTGCTCGCCACAACTAGAGAAAGCCCGCGTGCAGCAACGAAGACCCAATGCATCCAAAAAAAAAAAACAAAAAACCTTCAAATTCATCCCTCAACTTGTAATATACACAGATAGGATACAGAAGGACAGACAGATAGATATATCTCAAAAATCCAAAGGTAAACTTTAAGTCTAGACCATGTGTGAATTATGGTCAAATCTGAATTACCAGTCTCATTGATAAGATTTTATTATAAAATTTCTAATCAAAGTACTATGTCAATATAATAATGAACAAAATTCATGAAAGAGAATATCATTTCATGCTGCTATTTTAAACAAATTTTACATTTTCTTTTTTCTTTTTTTTTTTCTTTTTTTTTTTGCAGTACGCGGGCCTGTCACTGTTGTGGCCTCTCCTGTTGCGGAGCACAGGCTGCAGACGTGCAGACTCAGCGGCCATGGCTCATGGGCCCAGCTGCTCTGCAGCATGTGGGATCTTCCCGGACCGGGGCACGAACCCATGTCCACTGCATTGGCAGGTGGACTCTCAACCACTGCGCCACCAGGGAAGCCCTACATTTTCTTAAACAGTGGAAATCAGGCATCGGTATAAAAATTATTATTCACAACTCACAACTGAAGGAAGGGATAAGGACAAAATAAAGCCGAATACTATCAACAACTTCAATTTGATTAAAAGGATAATCCTTCCATGTGTACTGTGCACTAATTACTAGGTGCAAACACAAATAAAATATCTTCCTATCTCAATTGACTAAGGAAACAGACATGTCATTTTTTTTGCGGTACGCGGGTCTCTCACTGTTGTGGCCTCTCCTGTTGCGGAGCACAGGCTCCGGACACGCAGGCTCAGCGGCCATGGCTCACGGGCCCAGCCGCTCCGCGGCATGTGGGATCTTCCTGGACCGGGGCACGAACCCGTGTCCCCTGCATCGGCAGGCGGACTCTCAACCACTGTGCCACCAGGGAAGCCCTAAGGTGTCATTCTTGGTGGCCCTCTTCCAGTTGGCCTTTGCTCAAACAGCAGCCACAATAGCAGGCAAGGTCAAAAATGAAAGTAACTATAGTAAAACTGAAGAAGAATTGGTTTCTCCCTATGGAAACTGACTCAACATTTAATAATGTGTGGCGTCCCAAAAGCTGCAAACTACTACATGGCCATCTCTAGCTCAACTTTAACTCAATCAGGAGACCATTATCAAAACAACTCACTGGTGCCAAGCAGAGATCAATTGGTTGAAAATGTTCCTAGGCTGACATCTAATGGGGAGTAAAGAAGATGATCTCATAATGTCTCTTTATGATCTTGAAATCACATTATTCCATAAACCTGACACATGTCAAGATTAGGATTGAGTCAATCTCTAAGCAGGAAAACAAAAATAAGCAACTGCCACTTTTCTGACTCAAGTCTAGAAGCTGGCTGTAGATACAAAGCAACTTCCTCTCACTTCTATAGTCCAAAAAAATTTCAAAGCCTCTTCTTAATATTTTAGAATTTCAACATTTGGTAGAAACTCAAGAACCTTCTTCAGGCCTAACAGAATTTTATTAAAGATACACTTGAACTTTAGTTAGGTGTTTCTGAAAGTACTAATACAAAGTAAGTAAAGTCATAGTAAATTTGACCAGTATTCTTATAAATGGGGCAGTTTAAAGCCTAAATTCAATTAGGTTAGTGTCCATGTTTTTTTAAATTTGTTTGGGTATCTCACGCAAAGACACAAAATAACTGACAAAAGAAATAACATTTGGAGTGACAGGTTACAATTACCTCTGGAAAAAGCAAAACTAGACTGCAAGTAATATCAACGTCTCAATGGCCACCTGCTTAGACAGAAGCAAGTCTATGCATCCCATCATTCTGTAACCACAAAGTCTGGTTTTACATCTAGGATATACAAATGAAGCATCAGATTAAAAGCATCAAATATCAGACTCCACAAATTTGCCAAACATACACATATCAAAAACAGAAAAGCATGATTCAAAGTTAAAGAACTAGATTCCAAAGGATTTAAACACACCCACAAAATCCAGTCCAAGTTCATACTGTGCTTCAGCCTAAAACTCAAAACTACCAATCCTGACATCAGCCATTCCTCACTACCTGCATTCCCCCTTTTATCTCCTGAATTTCTCCATTTATCTTATCACTTCTTATGGGTCTTTGGATTCTCCATGGCCTTTCCTTTCCCAGAAAGTAGTACAGCACCCGGTCCCCTCATTTTACTATCTCTACAATTTAGCACTAAGTTTTGTTTTACCCTATTAGTTATTAATTTTGCCCCTAATCTCCTGTACCTAGGTTTCCCTAGCCAATGAACCTCTCCTGTCTTCTCCTTTCAAACTAGAGGATGTAGCCCCTTTCCTGATATTTGTAATTCTGGTTCCTAGTCAACCCCCTTCCATTCCCAGAGACTGTCATCATAGCACTAGATCCCCATCCCCAGTCCTTTTCTTCCTAAGTAAGGCCTAGTCCTTTCCAGAGTTTGTCAACATTAGTTTGCCCAAGCTGGGACTGTACCCTGAAGGCAAGGCTATCTCTCCCACCTAACTCTACAAATCTATGTCTCCCACTAGCCCTGTCTTTCTCTCCTCTAACCTTGGATCCAGCTGCATCCAGCGCTGCCCGTTTCCCACCCACCTCCCACTCCCAATATCTCTCCTCCCAGTATCCCGCGCTCCCCTTCCCCACTCCTGAATGCACCTCTTCTCCCGGGCCTCACCCGTAACCCTCACACAAGGAAGGCCCTGCCAGCGGCCTCACGGCGTCTCTCCTCCTGGCTTCCTCCGCTCTTCAGTAACTGTCCCTACGCCCCTTTCCCTCCAGGGCCCTGCGCGCCGCCCAGAGCCCCTCCCCGATTAAGCTCCTGCTGTCACTTGGCCTCTCATCCACAAGATGGCGGAGCTGCTGCCCCCACCTCCGGGTCCTCTCCGCAACCCCTCCTACCTCCCAGGAACTCCCGTCCCGTCCCTTCAGCCGCCTCCGCCCCCGGCCCCGGCCTCGGCCCAGGGTCCCGCTGCCCCCTCCTCCAGCGGGATGGCGGCCCAGACCCGAGCCTGAGCGACGCCGCCAACGCCACCGCCTCCCCCGTTCCCCGGCCTGCACATTCTCCTCACCATAAACTTGAGCGCTTTTTCCTGCAGCACCGCCTCGGCCGGGTCCATAATCGCCAACGGCCACCGAGTCCGCACTCCGCCGGGGCCGCCCCCTTGGTGCCAGGCCGCAACCAACGCAGAGCCGGGATCCCGCCTCCTCTTCCTTCTCCCCGCCCTCTTACCTCTCAGGCACCCGCAGGGGGGCCAGGAAGGATCAGCTGTTCCGTGCGCGTGCGTGAGCCCGCTGGCTCACGGGATTTGTAGTTCTGGGACTTCCCGCCGCAAAAAATGAGGCCACACCGCGAACTGCAACTCCCGCGGTTCACTGCGGTAGGGTCGCGGTGGCTGACAAGCCGAATCTAGACAACGGGCAGTCAAGTAGAGAATCAGCGTATGGGAATCGTAGTTTACAGCTTCTAGGGCTGGGAAATGGGAGGGGCATCGGTGTCTCCGTGGTTACCGAGCGACGCCAGTGCCGTCTAGCCTGGCAATTGATATCAAGATGGCGACCAGTGCCTCACCTGTAGCCCAAATACTGGAAAAAACTGTGAGAGGACAAAGGTACATGTAAAAGTATGAGATTAGATCACTCCCTAACACCATACACAAAAATAAGCTCAAAATGGATTAAAGACCTAAATGTAAGGCCAGAAACTATCAAACTCTTAGAGGAAAACATAGGCAGAACACTCTATGACATAAATCACAGCAAGATCCTTCTTGACCCATCTCCTAGAGTAATGGAGATAAAAACAAAAATAAACAAATGGGACCTAATGAAACTTCAAAGCTTTTGCACAGCAAAGGAAACCATAAACAAGACCAAAAGACAGCCCTCAGAATGGGAGAAAATATTTGCAAATGAATCAACTGACAAAGGATTAATCTCTAAAATTTACAGGCAGCTCATGCAGCTCAATAACAAAAAAATAAACAACCCAATCCAAAAATGGGCAGAAGACCTAAATAGACATTTCTCCAAAGAAGATATACAGACTGCCAACAAACACATGAAAGAATGCTCAACATCATTAATCATTAGAGAAATGCAAATCAAAACTACAATGAGATATCATCTCACACCAGTCAGAATGGCCATCATCAAAAAATCTAGAAACAATAAATGCTGGAGAGGGTGTGGAGAAAAGGGAACACTCTTGCACTGCTGGTGGGAATGTGAATTGGTTCAGCCACTATGGAGAACAGTATGGAGGTTCCTTAAAAAACTACAAATAGAACTACCATATGACCCAGCAATCCCACTACTAGGTATATACCCTGAGGAAACCAGAATTCAGAAAGAGTCATGTACCAAAATGTTCATTGCAGCTCTATTTACAATAGCCCGGAGATGGAAACAACCTAAGTGCCCGCCGTCGGATGAATGGATAAAGAAGATGTGGCACATATATACAATGGAATATTACTCAGCCATAAAAAGAAACGAAATTGAGCTATTTGTAATGAGGTGGATAGATCTAGAGTCTGTCATACAGAGTGAAGTAAGTCAGAAAGAGAAGGACAAATACCGTATGCTAACACATATATATGGAATTTAAGAAAAAAAAATGTTATGAAGAACCTAGGGGTAAAACAGGAATAAAGACAGAGACCTACTGGAGAACAGACTTGAGGATATGGGGAGGGGGAAGGGTGAGGTGTGTTAGGGCGAGAGAGAGACATGGACATATATATACTAACAAACGTAAGGTAGATAGCCAGTGGGAAGCAGCCGCATGGCACAGGGAAACCGGCTCGGTTCTTTGTGGCTGTCTGGAGGGGTGGGATAGGGAGGGTGGGAGGGAGGGAGACAAAGAGGGAAGAGATATGGGAACATATATATATGTATAACTGACTCACTCTGTTATAAAGCAGAAACTAACACACCATTGTAAAGCAATTATACCCCAATTGCAGATAATACTGTTATCTCCCTGGAAAGAGATAAGTGAAACTGTCTTTATAAGAACTGTGGTTAAGTAAAGATGTGTTTCCCAGAAAAAAAAAAAAAAAAAAAAGATGGCGACCAGTGCCTCACCTGTAGCCCAAATACTGGAAAAAACTGTGAGAAGACAAAGGTCCTAGGGCCTCCCTAACTGTGGTTGTAGAAAACTGGACGCCCCCAAAATTCGTATGTCTGGCGTCTGCGGGACGGATTTCAACCCAGAGGCGTTTGGCCTATGGGCACCTGGCAGCACCTTATAGACTAATGCAGAATTTCAAGGTCCTCCTAAGTCATCGCCGCACATTTCTGCCTGTCACCTTATTCTAATCCACAGTAAATCAGGGCCGAATAGAACTCGGCTCAGGAAATTCTCGGGTGTTTAGCACTCAGAAACCATGGCCTCTACTGCTAACCCTGAGATGTAAGCCCTGCATTAAGGGTTAAATGGGTACTTGCAAAAGGCCTTTAATGGTGGAATATAATGGCCATGCAGCAAACAAAGCATGTAAGTATTTAGTTTGGCCTTAAAAAGAACAGTACGAATTTATTTTGGAAATTGGGTTTAACCTAAGTGGAAAAAACACTAGGGTTGGGCTAAAAGTGATACGCTGTACAAAATTTCTGAGTTTATAAAATAAGTGAATTAGAGAAATACCTTTTCGGTTATAAGGAAATTTTCCATTGTAAACTATTTTATTCATTCTTTCATTCAACAAACAGCATATAACCGTATGCAGACATTGTGCCAAGAGATGGGGGGGTATTCAGTAGTGAACGCAATAGACCCGGTCTTATGGAGCTTACATTTCTAGTATGTTGATACTTTGTCCTACTCATCCCTACATCCTCAGAACTCAGCACAATACCTAATACATAATAGATTTTAAGTTAATAAAAAGTTTTACTCTTGAATTAAAAAAAAAAGTTTTACACTACTGCAAAATGAAGACTCAGAACTCATTCATATGAAAACTACCTGCAACTTCTCATAGGACTAAGGCAGTATGTGACATGGTTGCCAAAAAAGCTAAAGCAATCCTAGGCAGCTCGAAGAGACTAGTGTCTGGGGAATAGAGTTTTATTGTTTTACTCTGTTTTAAAGCACTAAGACCATACCTGGAGTACTTTGTGGGGTTTTTGTTTTGTTTTGTTTTGTTTAATTTAATTTTTTTATATAAATTTAATTTTGGCTGCATTGGGTCTTCATTGCTGCGTGCAGCCTTTCTCTACTTGCGGTGAGCGGGGTCTACTCTGTTGCAGTGCACCGGCTTCTCATTGCGGTAGTTTCTCTTGTTGCAGAGCGTGGGCCCTAGGCACACAGGTTCAGTAGCTGTGGCATATGGGCTCAGTAGTTGTAGCTCGCGGGCTCTAGAGCACAGGCTCAGTAGCTGTGGCGCACAGACTTAGTTGCTCCGAGGCATATGGGATCTTCCTGGACCAGGGTTCAAACCTGTGTCCCCTGCATTGGCAGGCAGATTCTTAACCACTGCGCCACCAGGGAAGTCCTCACACCTGGAGTATTTTATTCAGTTATGGGCACCATGTTCTATAAACATCATATGCAGGAGCGTAGCCAAGGACAAGATAACTGAAAGAACAAATATTGATGGATGCTTACTCTGAAAAAAAAGCACTTAGGAATAACATGGCAGCTAAATTCAAGTATTTGAAAGTACTGAAATGCATATGTATATAGCTCTATAGGGCAAACTAGGACCACTGGGTGGGATAATAATTATGATGATGATGATAACAGCTGTCACTTTATTAGCTCTTTATGCCAGGCAGTACACTAGGTATTTTACAGTCATAATCTCTAATATAGAGTAACTTTGTAAAAACAAGTACTATTATCCCTAATTTACAGATGAAGTAAGTGAGACTGAGAGGAGATAACTTGCTCAAGTCATACAGCAAATTACATAATCAGGATTGAAACCCAAATCTGCTTGACTCCAAGGCCTGTGCTATTTTCCCTGAACCACACTGTAATAACGTAGGACTCAGAGTTTTCTAGTAATGAGAGCTGTCCTGACAAAGGAAACATAGAGGCAGGATGACCATATTGTCTGAAAACATAGAGGCAGGATTGTCTAGGAGGGTTCAGTTTGGGTGGGAGGTTAAGATCTTTTAAACTCTAAAATTCTGCTCTGGGGACTTCCCTGGTGGCACAGTGGTTAAGAATCCACCTGCCAATGCAGGGGACACAGGTTTGAGACCTGGTCCCGGAAGATCCCACATGCCGTGGAGCAACTAAGCCCATGCACCACAACTACTGAGCCTGCACTCTAGAGCCCACAAGCCACAACTACTGAAGCTCGCGCACCTAGAGCCCATGCTTCACAAGAGAAGCCGCTGCAATAAGAAGCCCACGCACTGCAACAAAGAGTAGCCCCAGCTCACTGCAACTAGAGAAAGCCCGCGTGCAGCAACAAAGACCCAACACAGCCAATAATAATAAAATGAAATAAAATAAAATAAAATAAAATACTAAATATGGGGAATTCCCTGGTGGTCCAGTGGTTGGGACTCTGCGCTTTCACTGCGGAGGGCCCCGGTTCAATCCCTGGTCAGGGAACTAAGATCCTGCAAACTGTGCCGTGCAGCCAAAAAAAAATTTTTAATAAAAAATTTAAAAATAAATTAATTAAAGAAAATTTCCAAAATTAAAACTTGGGGAATAAAAAGAAGTGAGAGACTTGAGCATATTTAAATTGTGATAGAAAGGATCCATTAGAGAGAGAAAGGTTGAAGATAAAAGAAAGAGGAGGGCATAATGATGGAGTCAGGTCCTGAGAAAAAACAGAATGAAATCCAGATAGAAGGATTAGCCTCCAGTGACAGAAATGGAGGGAGAGAGTATGGGTGCAAAGGCAGGTGGGGTATAGAGCTGGAGGAGAAAGGTTAAAGAAATGCACTTCTAATGGGTGTTGGAATAGGCAACCAGCAATCTCTGCTGCACAAAGAAATGAGAGTTTTGCATGTTCTGCCCTTTCTGGATTATGTTTATCCCCTTTCTTTCATTCATTAGCACAAACAATCAAGAAGCAACTTTCCTTAGGTTTGATTAATGTTGTTCTAGACCAGTGGTTCTCAGCTGGGGGCAGTTTGTCCCCAGAGGACATTTAGCAAT